TTTCAGCAGACAGCAGCGGACATTAGATCAGACTTTTCACTGAACTCTTAAGGAAAATGTTTCACAAACTTGTTTTGTTTTGCTTGTTCTGTTTGTGCTGGTTGAGTCCGATGGGTAAGTTACAAAAGCATTTTAACGGTGTAATTTTAATTCTCTTTCAGCTTTCTACTGTATATACAAGATGAATCAATATCATTGATTCGGTTCTCTGTTTTCATTGTAATTTTAATTTGAAATTTTCAGGCCTTCTATTGTGAATGTAAATTTCTCTTGCTCAGAAAGCCAAAACCACCAGTGAAACACTTTCAAATTCCAGGCGTCTTTTGTGACTGTAAATATCTTCATTTAAAAAATTACGAATGCAAATTCTTACTAGCAATTTCTCAAAAATATTTTTATAAATACCCCTGTGGTAATCATACATAATTGTACATTTCATAGAAATTCTTTGCACAAAAGATTTGAGAACCTAAGTGAGATTCAATTAATCTGTTTTATCTACTGATCTCAGTGTCTCATTTATTTAAAAAAAAAATTTGAAATTTTTTTTTTTAAAGCAGAATTAAAATTTGAAGCTTTAATTATTGTTTTTTTTTAATTATTATGTAACCACACATTGATTTTACTCTAGATAAGTTAATATTAATAAGTAAATACATAAAGAAAAAAATATTGGTTCGTGCTTATGTCTCAGCTTTCACTTCGCTGCTCTAATTTGCTCTTGTTCACATTCTTCAGGTGTGTTTGGGGCTGAAACAAATGGAATACAATCAGTGTCATTGATGGAGGGAGATTGTGTCACTCTAAACACTGATGTTACTGAAATACGTGAAGATGAAGACATACTGTGGAATTTTGGAGTCAACAACTCTATGATAGCTCAAATTAAAAAAAAGAAGCAAATCTTCTCCACATATGATGATGGTCCTGATGGGAAATTCAGAGACAGACTGAAACTGGACAAACAGACTGCATCTCTGACCGTCACAAACATCACAACTGAACATACTGGACTCTATAAACTAGAGATTAGTGGAGCAAAACTGATATCAAAAACATTCAATGTTTCTGTCTATGGTGAGTAGAGATAATTTGTCCAAACATTCACAGATTGCTGTTTTATTTACTATTTACATATTAACTCATTTTATATATTAAGATCAAAGACACATTCACTTAAAACACTCAAAACATTGGACCAAAATAAGACTGATTAGATTTAATTTCATTTATTTTATTTATAGGCGCCTTTCAACAACAACAGCAGAACAGACATACAATAAAAAATACAATAAAATACTAAAAATAAAAACGAATCAACAATACAATTATAGATATGCCTGCTTAAATGAGTTTTAAGATGTGATTTAAAAGTATGAAGACTGTTGCTGTTACGGATGTCCTGGGGAAGGGCATTCCACAAGTGAGGGGCAGCATAACTATAAGCCCTGGATCCCATACTTCTCATACAAACATGTTGTTGAACTAAAGAGATGGAAGAGGATCTAAGAGTATGTACAGAAGTGTAAATTTGAAGAAGATCAGAGAGATATAATGGAGCTAAATTATTAAGGGCCTTATATGTAAGAAGCAGGATTTTGCATTCAATTTGATATTTAACTGGTAGCCAATACAAGTGATAGAGAATAGGAATGTGCTCTATGAAAGGAGGTTCAGAAATAATTTGTGGGGCTGAATTCTGGACCAGCTGCAGTTTATGAAAGGTTTTAGAAGGAAGACCATATAGAATAGAGTTGCAGTAATCAATACGTGATGTGACCAAAGCATGAACAAGAATAGCAGTGCTATTGGTTGTCAAAAATGGATGAAGACGATTTATGTTTCGCAAATGAAAGTTGGCTGAATGGATAATATTATTAATATGATTTTCGAGAGATAAGTTGCTATCGAGGACAACACCCATATTCTTTACCTAAGAAGATGGAAAAACTTGACTTCTCAATAGTCACAGAAAAACGACCAGATTTAACCAAATTAGACTTTGTACCTACAAGAAGAATTTAAGTTTTTGTATCGCTATTAAGTTTAAGGAAATTAGATGAAAACCAATTTTGTATTTCAGATAAACAGCTTAACAGAGAAGGAGGAAATACCGAATTAGGCATGGAAGACATATAGTGCTAGGTGTCATCATCATAGCAATGGAAATAAATTCCAAACTTTCTAAAAATTTGTTTAAGTTGCAGTAAATAGATAATGAATAAAAGAGGCCCCAAGACTGAGCCTTGGGGAACACCATCAGTAACACAATAGCTATGATATGATTTATTCAGATTTCTCTTTATTCTCTATTTTTCAGCTCGTCTGCCTGTTCCTGTCATCAGCAGTAACTCTTCACAATGTTCATCATCATCATCTCAGCACAATTGTTCACTGCTGTGTTCAGTGGTGAATGTGGGTCATGTGACTCTCTCCTGGTACAAAGGAAACAGTTTATTGTCCAGCATCAGTGTGTCTGATCTCAGCATCAGTCTCTCTCTACCTCTGGAGGTGGAATATCAGGATAAAAACAGCTACAGCTGTGTGCTCAACAATCCCATCAGCAACCAGACCAGACATAATCTCAACATCACTCAACTCTGTCAACCATGTTCAGGTACAGCAGCAGTTTTATGATATGATCTCTGTATTTTGTTGTAAATCAGACTGACACATTCACTTCTAGATTTATTCTTACAGCACTGGACTCACACTCTACTTCACAACAAGACTCACCTCGAATAGTGCTGATCTCTGCTGCTGCTGGATCTCTGTTGATTGTAGTTGTAATTGGGATCTTCTGCATCTACAGGAAATGTAAAGGAACCGATCAAGAAGGCAAGTGTTACTGGTTTTAAACAAGTATTTTAAAAATAATCTAAACATTTTAATCAATTGATAGCTCTAGAAATCTTATATGTTTTAAAGATTCAGCCCTCTGCTGGAGTTCAAATGAACATTTCTAGGAATGACAATGTAATTTGTTGAGCTTCAATAAAAATTAAAAAGTCAAAAATATTGTTATAATTATTGCATACTCTGTTTTAAGATCTTTTTTTATGTATGTGTGAACCGTTATAATGCCAAATTCATAAATGCTATTAATCAATTTCTTTTAATTTAATAATGGCATTACACAATGCTTACATTTGTGCCTTAATATATGTTGTGAAGAAACAGATCTATTTGTGTTTTAATCTACTATTATTGTCCTTTAAACAGTTCAGACTTGTGATGAAGAAATAATTTATGCCGAGACAACGTTCTACAAAAGAAAAACACGCAAATTGGTAAGAAACTTTAATCTCTGCATTTAGTCTCTGTAATTATTTTAGCAGTGAGTCAGATTTTGATATGTTTGTGTCTGTATAATGATCTGTCAAACACATTAAATCAGATCAGATATTTACAGGTCCCACTTTATATTAGGTGTCTTTAAATACTACTTAATAATAAAATAATAAATTGTTACCTATTGTGGTACCTATTGTGTTCATGTTGAATTGCAAAACACTTTTTCTGCTATTAAGGTGAGATACGGGTAAAGTTAGGGACAGGTTTAGTGGTCTGGTTAGGTTTAAGGCGTAGGGTCAACAGTGTAATTATAGATGTAACCGCAGAAATTCTTTATGGATGTATTTACAGGCTGGTATTTTTTACACTATGTAAAATAATGTTTGTACACAATAAGTTAATTGTGTAAAATGCTTAATTTTAAAAGCATGTGCATAGTGGTTAAGGACACTTAATATAAAGTGGGTCCTATTTACATTATGCCATAACTATGTATTTTATGTGAAAACTTCACTATCAACACTCTTAAATAACTGTAAACTCTTTAGTCAGTAAAGATTATATTAATTCAAAAAATAATTAAGCAAAATAACATATTTAATTAATTTAACAAGACTAGAACGAGACCAAGTCTGTGTTGTCAGTTAACTAGATGCTAGCCCTGTCGCATATTAGCATGCAATCTGGAAAAACACAAAATACAACATTTACTGTCAACATTTGCAGTCTCATGCAAATCATACTTGGAACTACAGATCCACTGACTAGTTATGTTATCAAAAATGTTTAATGTAGCCCTAGCACAAAACGATTAAGTGAATTTCATGAACATTGTGTTTGTTTTGAGCAGTCAACAGTGTTTATTTTGGCAGAAAACAAGCCATCTGATAGGACTGGATGTTGTTACAGCAAAATCATGCATCAGATCTTTTTTTTTATTTGTTATTATTACTTTAATATACTGTATTAAATCTGATTGGTAGTTTACACAGTTGTCTGTTCAGAGTCACACATCTCAGTTGTCATTACAAAATTTGCATTTACAAAATTGTCAGTTTTTCAGCTTAAATCATGTTTATATTTTGCACACGCCTGTGTAGTTCATGGTACAATGAAAAAATTGTATCTTTTTGGAATAGCTTGTCACTGGGGCATAATTGTCAAAATTTCACCTTTGTACCTTATTTAACCCAAAAGAGTTCATAGTGGTACCATTGGATGTACGATAGGTACTGTATATAAAGGTATTATAACCCTATTACTTCACTTCAATTTTTGATTTTAAAGAAAATGTGTTAACTTTTGAAAGGCAAACAATTTTTTCACTATGTTGCATGTTTTTATAGAAAGTCGAAGAGGAGGAACATGTGGAGTATGTTCCTGTCATCATGAGATTATGATCAAACTTCAGTCTTTTTCTTCAGTCCCAAACACAGCTGTGTTATCACCTTCATTGAGAAACTCTAGAGACACCCTCAGATTCTATGGAGTCTATGGCTGAGTTCTTGGACTGGTAAGAATCGCAAAAACAACAACAACAACACATTTACATGGATGATGTAAAACAGAAAACTTAAAAGCTGAAAGCATAAGATTCCATCCTCTCTGCAAATCACTCTCCAAAGCCACGCCTCCTCCCAAACACATGAATGTGCACAGGCAGACCAGAGACTAACCAGCGACAGGATGGGAAACAGCGTTGGTGGAGGGTTGAATGCAGTCAGATTACTTCATGTCTCATTCACCGGAGAGACATTACTATATAAAGCGCATAATATTGCAATAATAACACCTTCCATTCTCGCTCTATCTGCAATAGCGTATCGGAACATGCTGATGGCGTATCATGTCTGTGTGAACAGGATGCCTGGAGTTATGCAAATACATATGTTGACAGGCAGGTAGAACAGACTATCGTAGTCCTTGGTCCAAGGAATATGATTGGACGAACATTTTATTGTCCTACACATCCCACAGACCACTTAACTTAATGATTGCTATCGGGATGTGAAAAGACTTTCAACCAGAATAACAAAAATGTTTTTAACCAAATCACCTAAACTGCCTTTAAAAACGTACTTATTTGATGTGCGAGAACAAACTTCATTGGTTTTTGTGTGCATCAAACATGCAGGTTTTAGCTTCCATTTACCATATTTTATGAGCTCTATGTATGTACAATTTTCAGTGTCGATATATCAATAAACGGTCAATTAAATCTGTTTGTCATATAAAGTGATCATGTCTCTTCAGAAGACTTAGATTAAACTTAAACTCTGCGGACCCGGATACGTGTCCAAAATCGCATTCAAAATGTTTATGCTTCATTTACATAGCCTTCATTATATGGTATCAGCCCATATATGTGTTCATTTGAAAGCTTGGAGTGTCTTCTTTACAAAGAATACCATAACTTTTGGTTTTTATATTCATAAAGCAGTAAAATTAAGCTTAGAAATGTATTCGTCCCACACACGAATTTCCACCTAACCATTGCGAATAATTTTTACGAAGAATGTGTATTTTATATATTTTTCACAAAAAAGTCAAGTCATATATCACAAGAAAGCTCTCATTCTCAGGAATTTGACGATTTGACAATTATTTCATTGTGTGACAATCACAGATCGAATAATCTTCAATAGAATCGCGATGGGAAATTTCTCACCGAATTTTCGTATGGGTTACATTCATACTCGTAGCACTGCTTCAGTCAGCCGAAAACAGCCACAAATATCTATATACTCTATATTATATTTTAGATTAGGATCTCTTCTTTCAAACAAGACCATTTTCACGTTTCTGCGTGCTTCCATCGGTGAGATATATAGCGTTTTGTCCAGGTGCGCACCAGACGCACTTCTGCCAAACACGCGCTCTCCAAATCAAAAGCGCTCACAGTCTGATGTTACAGAGATCTGCGTTCGGTTGTGGACTGCAATTGGTCAGATTACATGTCTCTCAACTCAGCGGCCATTTCAGAGCTGTGAAATTTGACACCGCTGAGGCAATAGAGGGGGGAAAGGGGGGCGAGATGCGATCTGCACATCGGCACTTTACCGCTGTGTGTTTTGGGTTCTGTAGTTTTTGGACTCAATGTTTTGAAGGCGAGTTTCCCTCGCGGAAAGGTTACTGCAACTGCGGCTCGAAGAATATCAATCTATGATAATCATATTGCAAGTTATATATGGTGAAGAACGTTCAGCGGCGCCGTGGCGAGGAATGAACGCGCGTCTGGTAAGGCTTTATGAGCGTGTTTGCTCCGTTTTTGATCTTTGAATCTTTGTTTTGAAACGTAAAAGCACAGCTAACAATCTGATACACTGTTTATTGACAGAAAAGTACAGTACATTATGCATTTCAGTAAATATACAGTAAATATACAGTAACTATACATGGATTATTACAGTGCTGTGTGGATGAACTGATATACATTTACATTTACATTTAGTCATTTTGCAGACATAATACAAATTTTGATATACATTTACATTTAGTCATTTTGCAGACATTTTGATATGTGTTTGACGCTTTGAATGTTAGAGATAGCTGCCGGCTAGCGAATTAGCTCAGCTTTGGTCCAGGGATGCAAAGATGTTGGCAGGAAGAGCTGCTGGATATAGGAATGGATCAGCTGATGAGGTGAGAAGCTGCTCTGAATCAGTATCCCAATACAGAATGCACATAAATAGAATGATATAAAGCTGGAGGATATGGATTCTATTTTAGATTGTGATAGACCAGATATATTTTATAATGTAGACAGTCTTGTGCATCCTGAAAGAATAAAACTGATTGTAGAAAACAGAAAACGTGAAATTTGGTCCAATTCGCTTATGCCATTTTGTATATTACTACTTAGAAAAACATAAAAATGAAACATAATTCAATCAATAATCAAGAAAAGTGCTTATGGCACACTGTAAAATAGGATTGTGGGGGTAATGTGTTTTATAAAGCCTGTTTTTGCAAAGGAAACTCACAATGACACATTTAGATGCAGAAATAGACAATTTGACTCGCTTCACTTATAATGTAATAACTCCTGTTTAGAAGCTGTTATTTGAAAGATTATTTTTTTCTGGTACATTTTGGCATCTAGTGGCATCAAACAAAGTAAATTGCAGAGAGCTGGACCTAATAGAACCTTAATAACAGACTTTCAAAAAAAAAAAAAATTTAAACTCAAAAAGTGCCTATGGTTTTTTTTTGTGTTTATTGTAATATTTGAAAAATATATAATGTTATTTATAAAGAATTACACTCATATTTTGTAGTTCAAAGGGTTTTCTTTACAATTAAACCATTTGTTTTTCATTTCCTCCGTTGTATATGTGTAGGGTAAACATTTGAATTTGAGTGTCAAATTTAGGCGAAACTACCAAAAAACGCCCTGAGCGTAAATTAAACCGCTCGATTCATATGGATTACTGACTGTGTATATTTCTTGAAGCTTGAAAATGTTCATTAAATGGACAAAAATGAAGATAAATGAAAGTCTTATGTGTTTGAAATGACATGAGTGTGAGTAAATGACAGAATATTCATTTTTTGGGTCTAAAAACAAATTGAGGACATGTATATCTGCTCACCATAAATGTAAAATGTTCAACAAGTCAAAGTGAACTGCTTCATTCTGTGAAATGCGGTTTGGTAGACAAACATCTTCTGCATGAGAATGTGTCTGCTGCTGTATGTTTGTGTTTGATGTCTGTTCATGAGTTTGTTTCTGAGGTGTCAACACTGTCTGTGTCTATAGCGTGTGGTTGTAGGGTGTTTTTCCATTTCAGCCCATGATTTTAACAGTTTGACACAATTTTCTTCTGTACACACACACACACACAAAAAAAGATTCTCTCCAACCAGAGCCATTTGCATCTCACTATAAATCCACGATCTTATGAACTCATGCTGTGACCCTGTAGACAAGCTCTGCTAG